TGGGCATACGACTTGAGTCGGCATCCATACACACAAGTTACCACAAGACAAATAGGGAACATTCTCAACTACATCAATCACTACCTCTTGCTTAGTACTTGCAACTGCAAGGAACTATAATCCCTACCAGGTTCCTTAATTTTGCCATGCCATTCATACCACAAGACCACGCTTTGACATCCAGAGTACTTTCCCCTTTTTTCCACACTTCCAACATGACGATCAGATGATGTCCCTGCAACAACAGACCTGCACATGGGGGGGGGATTTCTTAACCACCTGGCATGGTAAAAGCATGTTCCTTCCAGGATTGTCTGACACTTCTCCAACCAGATGGTCAGACGCGGCGTCTACCACGGGTTTGGCAGCGATCTACCGGGAACGATTGCTTTGGAACTGTTGACCATGGCATCCAGGTTTGGAAATTTTTCCACCACCTCAGCCCCTTTGGGGGATCTACCCCATTGTAGCAGCTGCTGTGGCATGGGGAAAATCATGGTCAGGGTCATCAATCTGTTGTTACTCAGACAACTAAGCACATGTCATATCATCAACAAACGCCACTCATCATCCATAAGGTCATGATATTTCTGGGGAACTCACTTGGTTGGCCATTTATCACATTTCTTTTACTTTCATGTACCAGGCGGGGGTATACATCCCTGCCGACAATTGTCTCATTTATATTCCAGGCATGTTCATCATACGCTTCCTACAGCCGCCCATACAGTCACGGCCACTCTTTCGTTCCAGATACAAAATCATGGATTAGACATATTCATGCAGCATAGCATGCACTATCCCACCTAGCACTTTCGTCCCATACTTGTAGAACGCACAACACAGCTTTTCACCTGGCTTAAAGAATCTCATTGGAACACGACATAGCTCAACCTGTGTCATAACATTTCTCCTAGGTTTTGCTTCTTTTTGCCACCTTAAACTTAAACTATCTCACACACCATTAATTATATATTTTACAGGCATTCAACAACACAGGATAACCTATGGCCAAAACTACCATAACTTCATGCTATCATACCAGGCAAGAATATACTCAGAGGTTTTCAGGAATCCGTTCCCCCACTTTCCTCTCAGAGATTACCAATAGCCATCCAACTTTTCATCCTTATCGGACCTATTAGATCTACAACCATTCAATTATACTACCAAGTCGGCCATTACCAGCCATGCACATTGCCTTCTATGCCTTTCTCAGGCCAGAGAATCCACTACCATCACCACCACTCAGACAGATCATTGTCTTCAATGATCCCACGTACGTAAACACATTTATCATTATTGGCTCAACCACATTCCGAAACGAGTCAACATGCACCAACAGTAGAGATAACATACTATCCTACACACAACAAATGGTGTCCACTTTCGGTCCTAGATTCCTACCTTCAAAATCCTTCCAGGAATTAAATACTGTAATGCATTTAAGGAAATGTCTGGTTAATTTGTATATATTTGTTGACTGTATTAAATCTTTGATTATTCATTTTTGCCCTCTTTATTTGCAGGCCTACCGTATCGTCGGTCTCGGCACACCACAACCGACTTGCTCCCTTTATATTATCCTACGCTTATGCTGGATCCTTACTCCATATACGGCAATTTGCCCCCTTACACAAGTATTAAGGCCGTTTGGCCTGTATTTGTGGGAGGGTCTTAAAGTTATTCACTCCCCTATATAAGGGACACCCCTTACCTGACTCATATCGCTTGAGGTCAGCATCAGAATGACCCTGCCACCCACTCCTCATTTCAGCACTTTCTCTTTTCTTTCCATTTACTTTACTTTCTTGGTGGGCCCTCTTTATTTACAGGTCTACCGTATCGTCGGTCTCGGCACACCACAACCGACTTGCTCCCTTTATACTATCCTACACTTATGCTGGATCCTTACTCCATATACGGCTATTTGCCCCTTACACAAATATAGAAATATATATATATATATATATATATATATGTATATATAAATATATATAAATGTTTTTTTGTTTTTTTTAAAATTTATTTATTTATATATTTTCTTTTCCTGCTGGTTCCCTGGACTGGCGCTGGTTAGTGAGAGTTGGAGTGCCGGTGTTCTATCAGATTCACAAGGTATGTGAATCTGATAGAAAACCGGCGCTAGAGGAATGGGAGGTGGGCTAAGGGAGGACAGTGGGCGGTGAACTGAGATGTCACTCAGTTCGCCGCTCGTGAACGCGCACATGCGCAGTGTGCATATAATTTCTTCCCCATGAGATTCATTGTAGTCAATGAATCTCTATGAGAAGTTTTTCATTGGCTGAGCGCTGCGCTGGCCGCGCATGCGCTGGCCGCGCATGCGCTGGCCGCGCATGCGCTTTTCGGCCGCGCATGCGCTTTTCTGCCGCAATTATTTCCTATGAGAGGAAATTCATTGGCGGAGAAGAGCGTCTGCAGACCCTAGGTACGCTCCTCATCTGAGGAAAAAGTTAGATGACATAGCTTGGATTTGGACATATCACTATATATCTACAGATCTCAGACTTATTTCTGGAGGTAATCATCCCATTAGTTTATTCTGCATTCAAGGGTGAACAAAGGTGTACTGTAAGACTTCATGCTGATGCATAATTATGGCAATATCAAGCTCTTACAGCTCCAGAGATCTTCAAATTTCAGATGGTATCAATGATGGAGTATAAGGAGGTTGATCAGGAAATTGATATTGCTGGCAGCAACACTTCACTTATACCTTGTTTGTGTGCACATTCCAGGCTGCCATAACATAGTAGCTAATACCTTGTCTCATTTTAATTTGCAATTTTTTAATTGTTTTTCCAAGTACACCCCACTGCATTGAGACATCCCACCAAAAGCCCAGCATTCAAGAACCTCATACTGTATAAGCCCATCTAATGGCACACAGAAGATTGTTAGCACAAGATGCCCTATCAGCAAATACAAGATGATCATACAAATGAACACTTACTATTTTCAATAGTTTCATTACTGAATATCAGATCAGCAATCCATTCACCATCGATACCATGGTGACGTCCACTTCCTTTTGCCCCCTCAACCTAAAACTCTCACAACACCATAAAACTATATCTCACAGAAGTACATCACCACCTGTTGCTAAGGGCAGTAAGGTTTCGTCGTGTATAAAAAGGGGCATAAATTCCCAGGATGAAAATATAATTCTGCCACTTTATAAATTGCTGGTAAGACCACACCTTGAATATGCTGTGCAATTTTGAGTACCTGTTCTAAAGAAGGATATCATGGCAGTAGAAAATGTGCAGAGACGAGCTACAAAATTGATCAAAGGAATGGAGCATTTTAGTTATGAAGAAAGGTTAAGAAATTTAAATTTCTTTAGTTTGGAAAAACGGCACCTCAGAGGGAATATGATAACATTATACAAATAGTTTTGGGGCCAGTACAAACCATTATCTGGAAATCTATTCATAAACAGGGCTATACATAGGACACGAGGTCCCGCCTTTAGACTGGAAGAAAGGAGATTTAGTCTAAGGCAAAGAAAGGGTTTTTTTGTTTTTACAGTAAGAACTGTATGGATGTGGAATTCTCTGCCTGAAGAGGTGGTTTTTTTCAGAGTCCATACAGATGTTTAAAATAAAATAAAAAAAATTAAATTGGATAACTACTAGCAAAAAACATAACATACAGGGATATAATTTCTAATAAGTTGAGCAATAGCCGGTCTAATAAGTTGAGGAGATATCGGTCTGCCATTTTGGGGTCAATAAGGAATTTTTCCATCGTTTGTTGCAAAATTGGAAGGTCTTCAGACTTTTTTTTTGCCTTCTTTTGGATGAACAGCAAAAACATATGTGAGGAAGCCGGAACTTTTTTTTTGTTGTGCACAAAATTAACAAACAGCCCTGGTATGACAAAACAGGTTAGGGATATAGAAGTTCAGTATACAATACTTGTGACATTGCTAGTCAGGAACATTTCTGTTTTAGTAAAAGCAAGATTTCAACAGTTAAATTCCTCTTTTTGTTTAAGTAAGCTAGCAAGGCATACATGTCAAAAAGAAATTATCAGAGGAGTGACAAAGAGGCAAAACATAACATGCACAATTGTTTGTTAAATAAAAAGTTAACTTATGTGAGCTGTATAGCTATGCAAACCTGCTAGTCTAGGTAAGGTGTAGTTAAACACGCTGACTACAGGTATACAAATGCTGCAGGCTATATGAATGCAATGCTTGCTGCAAAACATTAGACTTGCATAGGTGGTGAGCAACTGGCTTAAAAAATAGCCACTGGAACCATGCCCTACTAGAAGTGGTCATGAGGTAACGATTAAGTAGGATAGGACCACTGGGTCTAGGGCTTAAAGTAAAGTAAAGAGAAAACTTAAATTAAAGAGCAAGAATATATCACTGTAAACAAGGAGTGGGCCAGTAGCGGGAAATTCGATTAGTTGCGTATTATCTAGGCCCAAGGGTGTCCTCCACGCTCTCCGGCTCTCACCTGCCCGAACATCCACCCGTGACTGGGGTGATAATCTTGCTTGTCTGCTCTCCAGGGTATCCTAGGAACGCTGAAAGTGCACGTTTAGCCTTTGTAGAAATTGCTCCATGGAGCATTGAGGAGACGTTGCATTGTGCACGTGCTTTTCCTCTGAGGATAAGACGTCCTTGCCATTTTGAGGCAGTCTGCTGTGCTCAGATCTTTTCAGCCCGCCAAGCCTTTAGAGTGTGGCTAGGTCCGCTTAAGGTGAGAGGTAGGTGCTGTGAAGGCAGATCTGTGCAGTCCAGTGGGGACCGGGATAACCCCCAAGGGGGGTGGGAGGGGTAGGAGTGATTAAGGACTCTTCAGTTGATGATGAGCGGGAAGATTGGCTGCCTCTCCCCGACTCTGATACAGCAGGCCGCAGCAGCGGATCTCCGCCCCCAGGAATGCTGAACTTTATGGACGCAAGTCTCTTTTCTTTTTTTTAATTCTTTATTTCTTTTTATTCCGGAAATCCAGACAGGCACAAGACACATTAGTTAGTACAATCGAACAGTGTATCAGCACTATGTTTTGTTACATTGGTTGCGTGCATTCTTTATATTAACGTTACATTATTATACAGTTCTACAATTGTATGTGCATGGTCATTGCTTTCTGTGGGCCGCTAGCTAGCTTAGTCCGTGCCCCATTAAACTTGTAGTTTGTCTGTTGCTGGCCCCTTATCTCGTATGTCTTTCCGTACATATAAGGTCTCTAAAGACTGCGGTAGCATCATCTTTATGTGCCTTTGGTACTCTGTGGTGTGTCCGACTGTGTGGACCCCAGGAGTTTTAAGGAAGTTCCAGCTTAGGGCTGGGTGTGAGGAATCCTATATAGAGGAGAGAGAGAGAGAAAGGAAACTAGCGAAGGAGTAGCGAGAGGAGGATTAGTTTTAGGCACGAGTGATATCATCGTGGGTCTTCTAGATTGGTGGGGGGGGGTGGGGGAGAGTGGACGGAGGTGGTGGTCCCTATGGGTTCTGCTTTTCAAATGGTGTGGGTACAGTACCCCTTTGCCGCCAGATTGTTGCCTCCTGTGCCGCATCACTTAGGTTTTTCCCTTCCACCCATTCATTCCATTTTTCCCATGTGTCTAGAATTTTATTGCGTCTATCAGAGCTCTCATGGGCCATTTTTTCGTACTGGCCATTGAGAGATACCTGTTGTATCACTTCGCCTATGGGAGGGGCAGTGGTGGATTTCCACTTCATAGCTATAAGCAGGTTCGCTGCTATCAGTATGTGGAATGCCAGAGTCCCTTGTTGTCTTGAGATGAGGTCGGGGAATATGAACAGTAGGAAGAATTCCACTGATTCCCGTATTGGTTTGTGTAGTACTTCCCCCATTAGCTTGGCGATCTCCGCCCAGAAGGGTTTGATTAACGGGCAATCCCACCAGATGTGTAGCATTGTTCCCTTGTCAGTGTTGCATCTCCAGCATTTATCAGAGGTGTTTGGGAACATGTGTGCTAGCCTCGCTGATGTTAGGTACCATCTGGCGGCTATTTTCTTTATTAGTTCTACGTGGGAGTTGCATTTTGTGTATTTTTTGTGTATCTTAAAGGCTCCTGACCAGGCGGCGTCAGGTATTTTACGTCCTATGTCTACCTCCCAGTCTGTGGTGTATTTAGGCTTTGGGCATTTGTCGTCTTTCAAAACTGCCTCGTAGCAGGTTGATATGACCTTTTTCTTTGGTAGTAGCCCTGTGCACATTTGTTCTATAATGGTCATGGTTTGTATTGTGGGTGGGTGGAGGGGTTTTGTTTGGTTGGTGGTTTTTAGTAGGGATTGTAGCTGTAGGTATGACAGGCCACTTATTTGGGGTGTGCTCAGCGGCAGGTTGAGTTGGGGGAAAGGGATCAAGTTCTCCCCGCTCCATGCTTGATGTAGAAAGACTGTTCCCCTGCCCTCCCATCCCCTGCTGTCGAAGGTGGGAATGTAGTATTTGAAGCATTTGATTGGGGTAGCCAACGATATTGGGCTCCAGGAGGAGAACGTGTCTTTTTTATTGTCCCATGTCTTTAGCATTAGGGCCGTGGTGGGTAGCATGTTGTGCATTTGTGGTCTCAGGGGCTTAGGTATCCAGAATAGACAGGAGACCCCTTCTGCTAGGGACCAGTAGGACTCAATCTCCACCCAAGGTGGTTGGTGTTTTGTGTCTTGTGTGGCTGAGTATTGTGGCTATGTAGTAAGCTAGGATGTCTGGTCTGCCTATTCCCCCTTCTCCTAGTTTTCTAGTGGCTGTGGCCTTTGGGATGCGGGATTTGCGTCGGTCATTAATAAACCTGTCTATGTGTCTTTGCAATTGGATAAAGTATGTCTTTGGGACTTCCACTGGTATGGATTGGAACAAGAACTGCAGCTTCGGGAGCAGCATCATTTTAAAGGCCGCTATGCGGCCCAGCCAGGAGAGAAATTTACCTTTCCAATTGTCCAGTTTTGTGCGGATGTCGGAGGCTACTTTAAGGTAATTGGCTTTGATTAGGTCTAGCGGGTTTTTTGTTAGTTTTATTCCCAGATAAACCACATGGTCATTTCTCCAGTCGAAATTGTAGTGTGTTTTGAGGTTGTGTGTCGTCTCGTGGTCTAGGTTAATTGTCATGGCTTGTGTTTTGGCCTCGTTTAACTTGTAGTATGAGTGCCTGCTGTATTCTTTCAAAACCTCTGTGAGTGCTTTGATGGAGGTGTCTGGTTGTGTGATGGTGAGGAGAACATCGTCTGCGAATAAACTGAGTTTGTGTTCAGTACTTCCTATGTGAACTCCCTGTATGTCAGGGTGGGCCCTAATTCGGGTCGCGAGTGGTTCGAGGGCCAGGACGTACAGCAGGGGTGACAGCGGGCACCCCTGCCGCGTCCCATTGGTGATGGTGAAGGAGTCGGAGAGAAAGCCTCCGTATAGTACTTTCGCTGTGGGTACATTATACAGTGCCCTAACTGTGGATAGGAATTCGTCCGGGAAGCCATATTTTTTCAGCACTGCTTCGAGGAAGTTCCAGCTAAGGCGGTCAAATGCCTTTTCGGCGTCAAGGGATACTAGAATCCCTTTTGTTTGTTGTCTTTGCATGGAGTGCATGATGTCAAGTACTCTCCTAGTGTTATCTGTGCCTTGTCTCCCCTTCACGAAGCCAGATTGGTCTGAGTGGATAAGTGTTGTAAAGGCGTCTGACATTCTGTTGGCTATTATTTTGGCGAATATTTTGGCATCTGAGTTAAGTAGGGATATGGGCCTGAAGTTTTTACAGTGCGTGGGGGGTTTGCCTGGTTTTGGCAGGGTGATTATTGTCGCCGCTAGCATGTCTTGAGGTAATTTGGAGCTGAGAACTAAATCGTTAAATAATTTTAGGGGTCAGGCTTTTACGGAATTTTTTGTAGTAAATGTTAGACAGTCCATCAGGGCCTGGTGTTTTGTTGGCTGGGAGATTCTGTATAACCTGCTCAATTTCTTCTGCGGTTATTGGTTTGGCCAGTGATTCCCTTTGGTCTGCTGACAACGTGGTTGTGTTAATGTGGTCTAGGTATGTAGTGGATTCCTCAGTAGTGGCGTGGTGTTGGTCCTGGTCGTTCCGGATGTTATAGAGCTGGGTGTAAAAGGAGGCGAATTCGTTACTAATGTCTCCTGGGGAGAGTATCTTACCAATTGTGTCAGAGTGTAAATGTGGTATTCGGGAGCGAGTCTGTTGTTCTTTCAGTGTGGAGGCTAGTAGTTTAACGGCTCTATTGCCCTGAGTGTATTGGGTAAGTTTCAGTTTTTTCAGCATGGTGCAGGTGTACCTCTTGGATTTTGGATTGGAGCTGCAGTATCTGTTTCTTAAGGTGTTTGGAGGGTTTTGTGTATTTAACCCTCCATTCTGTGAGTCTGGCTTGGGAGGTTCTTTTTGCGTGGGCAGCCTGTTTTATAAAGAGGCCTCTTACTACAGCTTTGTGGGCTTGCCACAGTGTTTCTGTGGACATCATAGGCGTTGCATTAGCATTAAAGTATTGGTCAATTTCCATCTGCATGTTTTCTGTGAAATGGGGGGTCTGGAGGAGCGATTCATTGAGTCGCCAAGGAGGTTTGTTTTTGAAGGCAAATTTGTCTGCTATCGTGAGGATGACCGGGGCGTGGTCTGACCATTCAATATTTACAGTCTCGCATTCCAAGACCTGTGTTAGTTGTGTGCCTTTTACATAATACCTATCTATTCTTGTGTAACAGTTATGTACAGATGAGTAGTACGTGTATGCTCTGTCTGGGGGGTGTTTGGTCCTCCATACATCGTAAAGATTGTAGGAGTGGAAAAGTGTGGTTAGTTGTTTGGCTAATTTCGATAGTGCTTTGAGTCGTGTGGGTGTTTTGACGGAGGATGAGTCCAGTACTGGGTCTTGGATACAGTTGAAATCTCCTCCTAGGATAAGGAAACCTTGTTGTAGTTTGTCAATTTTGGCTAGGATTTTAGTTAAGAAGTCCCTTTGGTGGTCATTTGGGGCGTATATGTTGCCTATTGTGTATGTAACATCGTTGATCAGAGCTATGATTATTAAGAAGCGACCCTTAGAGTCAGCTATTTTTTTGGTTAAGGAGAAAGATACTTGGCCGCTGATAAGGGTGGATACCCCTTTGGATTTAGTGTCTGAAGTTGAGTGGAATTGGTATGGGAATTGTTTGATGCCGAAGCGGCATGGGTCAGATTTGCGGAAGTGTGTCTCCTGCAAACATATGATGTCGCCCTGCAGTTGTTTTATTTCTTTGTAGAGGGCATGTCGTTTTGACGGGGTGTTCAACCCTTTAACATTGTGATATTATCCGCATAGTGTGTGTACAGTGTGGTGTAGTAACATACCCGTATATCCGTGAGATTCCCACCCCCCCTCGTCCGTCGTACCTCCTGTGGAGAAAAAGGAAAGGAGAAAAGAAGATGAAAGGCTAGAAAAGGAAAGGTGTCGTGTTGAGCGAACACTCAGGATTAACTAAAATTGAGTTAAAATTAATCGCCCTCCGGCGAACAGAGTTGGATTCGGCTGTACTGAGCTTGTCACCCAGTTCCCTTCGGGGTCGAGGTTAGGCTTGATGGGTTCGGGTGTCCACGTTCCGTACAGGCGGATCTATGCACTTCTAGACATTGAGGTATGAGCCTCAACTTGACATATAAAATTAACATTTGTAACAGGTACATATTATAACACATTGGTTTCCTCTAACATGAGGATTTAACCTTAAACAGTCCCGACAGATACTGCAAGGGTTGGCCGCTCTCTAAGACTAATTCTCCTCTAACTTCCTCTCCCCGTCCCCACCTAGGTGATAGGCCTTGAGTGTTTATCCCCTCCTTCCCTTAATGTGGGTCCTCCAGTATAGGGCTTCCCCCTTATTGGGGTCCTCACGCCTTAGATGTATTTACTCTATTTCGTCGGAGTAGTCAGGGGATAACGTTGTTTGGGGGGGAGTTTTAGGGTTTGTTCCTGGCTGCAAGTGAGCGGTTGAAAGGCCCCCTGGCTGTGGAAGGTGATCTTTTGTCCCCGGTCGTTGTGAGATCGGAGCCAGTGTAGGGGTGGGGGTGCTATGCTTGGGGCTTGTGTTTGGCCTACCGTTTGCCCTCCCCGCTCCCGGCTCCCTCTAACTCCTGTGACCCTACGCTACCCTTTCTCTCCAGTCACTGAGTCGGTCCCATTTAACCTGAGTGGGCGTCTGTCGGGTGTCTCGGGTGATGCCTCTCACTGATGGTAGTCCCGGGACGGGTCTGTGGTTGCTTGTGTTGATAAGTGTCTCTTGGGATCGTTCCCGAGGTGATCTTGACATGTGACAGCGTAGGGTGAGGGATAGTCCCTTCTTGATGCCACTGGTTTTGGCATAGTGGAGATCCTCAATGTTTCTGTAGCCCTCTCCACAGCCTCGAGGGTGTTGATTGGAGCTGCCTGCGGTGACTGCGGGGTCCATGGCGCGGGTGGGTCAGGTCACACAAGGGGACCTCTGGGGAGGAAATCAAAGTTCGTGGAGATCTGTGAAGTATGGTAGTTAACGGCAACAATAGTTTGCAGTGGGGTGTTGTGGGCGACGGTTAACGTTTCGCCCGTTTCCACTCAGGAGGTAGGGTAGTAAGTGTTTGGGGTGATTCCGCCGGCTGTATATTCCATTTGTTTAAGAGTTGTGTGCCGTGTTCCGGGCTGAGCACTGCCGTGGCCTGTCCATTACGTATGATTAACAGTTTGGTGGGGAAACCCCATCTGTATTGGATTTGGTGTTTTCTCAGGGCGGTTGTAACTGGGGTGAATAGTCGCCGCGTGGCTAATGTTGCTGGGGATATATCAGCGAATATTTGAATGTCTTTGTATACTTCAGCTAGGGATTTGTTTGTTCTACTGGCTCTGAGTATCTCTTCCTTGATATGGTGGTAATGTGCGCGTAGTAGCACGTCTCTGGGAGCAGATACCGGTGCTGCTCTTGCTTTGGCCACTCTGTGTATGCGGTCCAAGAGAAGCATTTGAGCCGGTAAGTCAGGACAGAGGTTCTGGAACAGGTTCGTGGCGAATGCTTGTAGGTCCCCCACTGCCACAGATTCTGGGATGCCCCTGAGCCTCAGATTGTTCCGGCGGGACCTGTCTTCAAGGTCTGCCAGTTTGTTATCATGTGAGGATATGTGTGCTTCCAGTTGTTTAATTTTAGTGAGCATGGTGTTGTGTGCAGCCGCATGGGTTTCCAATTTGTTTTCTAGGTGCTCTGTCCTGTCTCCAATGGCTTGAATTTCTTTTTTCAGGTCAGATATGGAGGTTTGGAAATGTGCCAACAGCTTGTTTGATTGGGCATCTAGCATGTTTTGTATTAGAGCTGGGTTGACTTTTCCCTCTCCCTCTTGTGTAGTGGGGGGCTTGAGTCCTGACTTTCCCCTGAATCATTGTCGCCATCTTGGAGGCCTACCTGGTCGGCCGACGGCTTGTGCTGGCTCCTCGCGGCAAAAAAGGACGAGCGGTCGCCTTTCCCTTGTGGTGGGACATGTTCCCTGCGGGGATTGTGACTGGATGTTCGAGGTGGGTGGTCAAGTTGGGCCGGTTGCTCTCGCCGCCATGCACGGAGCTCGGGACTCACGCGGCCATCTTGGTCGGCGTTCAGCTCCGCCCCCTCCGCAAGTCTCTTTTCAGTTATGCAACCATGTAACTTACAAAGTGCTTTTTCCAGCCACAAAACATTCATGTCCTCTTACTGCAATAAAACATACTCAAAGTTAAATCATGATTAAATTGCCCTATAGCCACCAAAATATCAAATGTCCTAACTTTAGGGCAAGGATACATGTATTCGACCCAGATGACTTGATAATAAGACCACTATATACACATAGCATTTTATGTTATTTATTTATGCCCATATGAATGTACCATATAAAATAAAAACCTATTTACAAGCCTACCTGAATGTCAGTTTCAGCACACCACCGACTATGCACTCTTCCTCTGCCTTTGTCCTTGAACACAATTGTTAAGATGGAACCTGGTATTGTGGGAGGGGTTACCTAGCCTATTAAGTCTCAGACTACCCTCTTCTATGTGCCGTTACTGCCTGATTCATCCCACCCACAGCGCCCAGGCCTACCCGAATGTCTGTTTCAGCACACCACAACCGACTTTGCATTCTTCCACGACCTTTTCCCCCGACCAAACATACATTCACATTCTGAGGCAAAAAAAAAGAAAACAAGCAACTTTTTTAATTTTGATTTTATTGTTCCAATTTCTTTAGGACATAACCCAAACACAAGCAGAGACAAGTTTCACAGTACATAAAAAAAACTCCCCATCCCATCCCGCATGAACATAATTAAAAAAAAAAATATGACTTTATACAGTACAAGATTGAAATCCTGTATGAAAACACTAAAACAGAAGGCTTCAGTTTCTTTTCTATATGACACCTTATTTATCATATATACATACATGGTAACTCATTTTTATATACACTCTTCCAATAAATAGCTTCACTGTACATATAAAGCCAGTGTTTTACTTCTGGGCAAAGGGGAGGCCTGGCTAGAAAGGAAGGGATGTAAAGGGGTATAGAATATCATGCATGTGGCATTGCCAGAATAGTTCTTAAAATAGAATCCCACAACTGCTAAAGAACTCTAACATCTAATACATTTTCCCTTTCCTTTGTGATGTATGAGGAAAGCCTTGCTTTTAATAAGTAAAATTAAAAATAACAGTTTAAATGATCAATAAAAATAATTAAAAAGTAACTGAACATCATAGAGTATCAATGGATGGTTTGAGTTAAATGCATTTGTAAACCTTCAGAAAATAGTCATGTTCACGCTAGTAGAGGACACACACCAATATAGGTTAGCAAGGTGCAAAAGCTTGCTGGGAATCACAAGAGCTGCGGTTTAAGAAATAGCAATTCGATTATCTCCATAATGTGTCTCAGTCCGCTGCATTACATACAAAGGTTAACCAATTCAATATAGATTCCTCTCAGTACTATCAGTGTAATCCCAGCCTCTCCTACTATTAGGCTTAATTCCTTAAACAAAGATTTGACATGGGAATTGCAAACTTTAGGCCACAATAACCAAGATGAAAAACTGGAGATTTTGTTAACAATCTTTGTTATTGTCCACAATTCATGGTTTAGTTACCAAACCCCCATGCAGTTTGAACCTGTCTAGGCTTACTAGCCATTCTCAATGGACCAGAACAGGTTAAGCTGCACATCACTAGTATTTTTTTAACTGGTTTCTTTACAGTAATGCTTCAATATACATTTCTATATGTGTTATAACACCGAGATAAGTTCGGATATATTTGTAAATATTGTAGGATATTCCCACTGTTTTAGTGAAGAGGTTGGAAAAATGGAGAAAAATCTGTGGCTACAGCTGTATTCAGTCAAAGGCCAGCAATTCTACAGATTATTAGAAGTTTATGTACAGCTTATTGCATACCTCCCGGCATTCCAAAAGTGAGGGGCATTTTTAAATTTAGGGGTCTAATCAAAGGCTGGGCTGTTCTGGGAAATTTTGGGTGACTTACTCATAATTTATGTAACTAAAATGTAATTTAGAACAAGAACAATGTGTCTTTTTTACACAGTGCTTTCTAAGCATACATTTATTGTAGCTTAATTGCTGTGGAGCGGTGTTACGCACTCAGGCACACCAACAATATGCTCCTATAAAAGAGGAACATTAGGATTTGAAATAAAAAAAGTGCACATGGATTTGGGCACAAAATAAGGACATTTGGGAGATATGCTAATGTAAGGGACATACTTCCTGGTGAAGTAGGGAAAATAAAAGTTGCATGACTTGCACATATATTACTAAAAGTATCTAAATGTACGGTTTTATATTAACTGAACTTATAAAAAAAATTAAAGAGATTAACCGGTCTCCAGCAATGCACAGTTTAGCTTCATTTACAGGTAACTAAAACCAATAGTTTATTCTCTAAGCAGCAAGTTATGCAGGGATATAATATCAATCTTGGACATTTGTGAAACCTTCCTGTTAACAAGAGCAACATTTGGCAAATTCTACCTGGGACCCAGCTAAAGTCACTACAAACTATACAGATTGCTCTCCTATGCATCTCAACCGTCTCAAATTAATCTTCTTCCCTCAAGTTAAGTTGTATCAGTAGCCAACTCAAGAAGTACTTTTAACAGAGGAGAAAGATACACATTAGTTCACACTTTTCTTGGTATCCAAAAGACTAAACCAACAATTTACAGTTAGTCAAGTAACATTTTTAGATTATCCCCTAAGCAGAAAGTTGTAGCAAGTGAACACATTTAGCCTAAAGCAGTCAAGCCCCCCACCCCCTCCAACTCTTACATTTTCTTTAATGTATGTGTTGGCTTATCACAATACATTGTGAATAACTACTTTAAATTCAAAAGTGCATATCATTATAGGGGCCTTCTAAGCAGTTCAAACACCAACAGATTGTTTTAGTTCTTAAGCTGCCTAAAGTTACCTAACTCCAGATCTTGGTTTAATATCAGACCATAAAAAAAAAAAATTACAAAAAAGTGATTAACTGTGTGTCTTCTTGGCACCATGGGAGCACCCCACCAAACTGAGTTAAACTGCCCCAGCACTCTCATCCAATCAATATTGCCCTTGTTGGACAAAATTGACATTGATAATGTGGAAGTGTCAATTCTACATTATCAATGCAGCCAAGATGGGAGTGGTCTTTTGGCACTGCGAATACCATCAGTTTATATCAAACTGTGAAATATGCAAAACATGCAAAGACCCAGACAAATGTGACAAAACCATATTAAACCAAGAGATTGTGCCTGGGGTTTGGAGATGTAGTGTTTTTGTGGTTTAGAATTCCCCTTTACCAAAATGTGACACATTCATATAGCTTTGCTCACAAATAAATACATTGATGAAAGCAAATCAACGTGTTCTGAACCAAATTGTATTGACGCAATTCACATTTTTACAGTAATAACTTTTTTTTAAAAGTTTACTAATGTTGCTTTTTCCAAATTGTATAAACAAGTATTAATTAAAAACATTTTACATTCTCAAAACACCTACTACAAACTTAGAATTTTTGCTACTTAATTGAATTTCCTACTGTACTACATATCTATTATATATGGGAGTTATCTGGGGCCATAAAAAAATCTTTCCATCTTAAAGCTACCTTCCAGGCACCCATAGTTTGGTGTAATGCGCAAGCTTGATTAAAGATAGTTGTGCGCGTTTTTTTGTTTTTTTTTAATCTTTAGTTTTTGTAAGTTGGGGTTGCCCACCATTTTTGCCCAACCCACAGTTTCCCCCTTTGCTTCAAAAATACTGCTGTGCATGTCATGAGTTTCTGTGACTTGTAGTTCAGCTTTGTGCGTTTACAGTACTATGGCATACATTAACACCTTATAGTGCCATTAACGCATTGACAGAAGAGGCTCAACAGTAGGACACAGTTCGCCTGAGTTGCTGGCATGTTGAAAGAAATAGGGATTTGCAGAAAAAGCAGGGACTTCATATAGGAGTATTTGTTTTATTTTAACATTTTGTTTTTGCATAATGTACTCTCTTTAGAATACATTAATAAAAGAATGAATGAGCTTAGAATGTACCTGTAACCATGATTAAAAAGGTGCTATTCCACATATTCTTCTCAGTGCCATTTTATAGTTAAAGAGGCAGTCTAAGCATCGTAGCCACTACAGCCTGCTATATTGGTTATTGTGCCAGTCAGGTGCTAGCACCATCGCACGGTAAGCAGTCAAATAGTTTGGCACGGATTTGGGTCCCACTGGTGGAAAGAAGGTTCTATATTCAAATTAGTTTGAAAAAGCCAACCAAAGCATTTTGCCTTAGCAAGGACATAATTGACACAGCTAATGAATATGAACAGCTTCCATTTTAGATATTTCAGAAATGGAGGCCTGATCACCAAATGGACCCATGTACAAAGGTTAAAAGTGTGAAACCGTTTGGAAAGTGGGTTCTAGCGGTTATGGTGTCTAGACAGATCCTATTGCTTCATAAAGACCATACATGCTTAAAGGAACACTATAGTCACCTAAATTACTTTAGCTAAATAAAGCAGTTTTAGTGTATAGATCATTCCCCTGCAATTTCACTGCTCAATTCACTGTCATTTAGGAGTTAAATCACTTTGTTTCTGTTTATGCAGCCCTAGCCACACCTCCCCTGGCTATGATGGACAGAGCCTGCATGAAAAAAAAACAAAAAAAAAACTGGTTTCACTTTCAAACAGATGTAATTTACCTTAAATAATTGTATCTCAATCTCTTGCAGGGTCTAGCAAGCTATTAACTTAGCAGGGGATAAGAAAATCTTAATTAAACAGAACTTGCAATAAAGAAAGCCTAAATAGGGCTCTCTTAACAGGAAGTGTTTATGGAAGGCTGTGCAAGTCACATGCAGGGAGGTGTGACTAGGGTTCATAAACAAAGGGATTTAACTCCTAAATGGCAGAAGATTGAGCAGTGAGGCTGCATGGGCATGTTCTATACACCAAAACTGCTTCATTAAGCTAAAGTTGTTCAGGTGACTATAGTGTCCCTTTAAAAAACAAAAATTAAAAAACAAAAATAAAAACCCAAACCTAAAAAGCTTATACATATGGTATTTTCTTTGGACCATATTCAGAGGTGTGGTCACTAATCCGCTGCAATATTGTTGTCATAGTAGCAAAATAAAAAGGCAAAAGCTTTTGTGGTTTATTCACTGTACAAGGAATTGTCTTGAAATAAAATTGAATTTTTTTTTAGCCAATCTGTGATTAAAGTGAAATTTGAGAACTTTGTTGCAAATCAGCTATTGTTCCCTAAAAACACAAACTGTAATTCATATCTGTGTTTTTGAGATGGAAGAATTAACAAAGTCATCTAAAATGTAGAGCTCAGAACACATTGCAATTAATTATTCTTTCACATTTTCCGTCTACATCGATCAGCACCTTTACAAAAGGGTACTATTAGAACTGCAGTGGATTAATTTAAAGGATCATTATAGTGTCAGGAAAACAAACCTTAAAGGACCACTATAGTGCCAGGAAAACATACTCGTTTTCCTGGCACTATAGTGCCCTGAGGGTGCCCCCACCCTCAGGGTCCCCCTCCCGCCCGGCTCTGGGGAGAGGAAAGGGTTAAACACTTACCTTTCTCCAGCGCCGGGCGGGGAGCTGTACTCCTCCTCTCCTCCTTGCTCACGACGTCATCGGCTGAATGCGCATGCGCGGCAGGAGCCGCGCGCGCATTCAGCCGGTCGCATAGGAAAGCATTTACAATGCTTTCCTATGGACGCTTGCGTGCTCTCACTGTGATTTTCACAGTGAGAAACACGCAAGCGCCTCTAGCGGCTGTCAATGAGACAGCCACTAGAGGCTCTGGAGGCTGGATTAACCCTCAGTATAAACATAGCAGTTTCTCTGAAACTGCTATGTTTATAAAAAAAAAAGGGTTAATCCTAGAGGGACCTGGCACCCAGACCACTTCATAAAGCTGAAGTGGTCTGGGTGCCTAGAGTGGTCCTTTAATATCCCCCTCCCTTGGCGCTGAAGGGGTTAAAACCCCTTCAGCCACTTACCCATTATCCAGCGCTGGGCTCTCCTCCCCTGCCGACGTCAGCTCCTAAGTGAATTTCTCAATGTTTTCCTATGGACGTTCTGCGTCACAGAAGCGCCTCTAGCAGCTGTCAGGAAGATAGCCACTAGAAGTTGGATTAACCCTATGTAAACATAGCAGTTTCTCAGAAACTGCTTTGTTTACATCTGAAGGGTTAAAACCTGGGGGACCTGGCACCCAGACCACTTCATTGAGCCGAAGTGGTCTGGGTGACTATAGTGTCCCTTTAAGGACATAACATACCTATCTTATTATAGAAACACCCACAGTGTGTGTGTGTGCGCGCGCGCGTGCGTGCGTATCAAGACTCATACATTATTTTGGTATAGCCTTGATGTGTTTGGACCATGGAATATAGCATTAATCAAGATTGCAGGAAACTGTATGTGCTACACACACACACATTATAATAAGGTATTAAAAGTATGCATGGTTTGTTAAAATATCTTACAACAGGGGTGGTCAATGAGGCAGAGCAGAGCCATTGCAGAACAAATCTGAGGTTATTTTACCAGTTGCAAGGATGAAAATGCAACATGGGAGAGGAAGTACTGTAACAGCTGTGGGTCAACCTATTTACCTGTGCCTTACAACATAATTGTGCAAGTGCCCTCCTGGAATATCATAAGCATTGGGAGGAGAGAGACACTTCTTATTACCTATAACAATATTAATAATTTTCTATTGCTTTAAGTTCTCTAGCAGCATAAGAGGTGACATTTTTCTGCGGGGTTTAAAAGTCCCTGCCCTCTTACACAATATATGCAAAATAGAATAGAAAGGGAGCTATAGACATGATTAAACATGAATAAATTGGAATAATTGTTATTTGTCATGACTAAAAATAGTGAGTGGTCAAAACAAAGTAATTCCACCTGTTTGGACCACCTCCTCATAAAAAGGTATTTTATAATATTATGGGTAAAAGAATAAACCCAGTGGTCAAGAAAAGAGGGATTATGGTCCTCATTTGGGTTCAAACCTCAGTTTGTGACATAAGCGCAGTGCTCCCGTTCAAAGTTAAATGACAAGGACAGGCTGCGGTTTTAGCCATCTCCTTGTCACTGCAGAAGCAGCAGATCCAAGGGAAAGACATAAGTGCATTTTAACGTATTATACCAATAATGCATAAAAATGTTTTAAGTCTACACACAATATCCATGTAATGGCAAACATAACACATTTAAGCATTCACACCAGAACTGTGGCATATAATATCAAACTGGACATGTCACCTTTGAATGTTGAAACTAACTCTTGATTTTTTGCAACAAAAACAAATGCATAAATAATGTATTCTATGTTCAATCCTGAGCTCAGACTCTCCCACATCTTTGTTCTCATTCTGCAGCTGCCAGGGCATAGTAGTTTCAGTCAAAAAGGAATCAATATAAGTGGGAGGCATAAAGGTATGCTACTATAGTGAAGGTGACTGCATTACGTACATTGGGCATTTTGAAAAGATGATGGTTCCATTTTACAGTAATCTGTGCTGCTCCATCAGGGGAGAAAATGTATAGGGGTGGAAATTCTACGGCCTGCATTCAAGAATCCACATGACAACTGAAGCAATTTGCGCCGCATCTAATGGATTTTCATGCAGACTACAAAGCAGGCCATCAAGTAAGCTGGTTTGTTTGTACTCTTGATACAGCATTGGAGTCATTTGATGCAGTTAGGTGGAAAGGGTTAGAAGAAAACACTACAGCAGTACAGTGCTAATCCAAAACAGTTTTGAAAAACCATTAGCATATGCCATCCTTTGGCTAAAGTCCAGTTTGCTTTCCTTATGTTTTGAAGAAGTTGCAATTTAATTCAAAGTCTTCCAGTATTGTTCGTAAAGGAGAATGTAGAGAAAGGAACTAGATAGCAGTTGCAGGAAAAGGGGGCTCCTCTTACATTTCAAAACTCTTATAAACAAGAGTACTATATAGTCTGTCATTTTGAAATGTATGTTTGACCATTTTCATCATGCCAAAGAGTCACTACTCCTTTAGTTCTGTCACACGTGGTCTTCTAGACCTCATTTTCACTCAATACATTTCCCTTGCATTCCTCATCAAGGATCTTAAGGGTTGTTGTCTGGGCAGGCATCTCTAAGAATTAGAATAAATGATCAGGGGTGACAGGAAGGAATAATTTAGGACAGAACTTAAATATCATAACGATTATGTGCACCAGGGTGACTCTGCCGGCTGTACTGGAAATGGTCAGTCAGCACACTGGTCCGGCCGTACTGGTAGTCCCTGCCAGGAGAGAAGGAAGTGATTCCATTCTGGATCTTTTCAGAAGGTCCGCGAGGGTTGTCCATGCCCTGAAGATCATCTGCTACAAGTGGGAGTAGCTGCTTCTTTGATTCCTGGTTTGCATCATACTTGGCCTAATGAAAAAAACAATGAGAGATTGCAACATTCATAAATAGGTGTCGGACAGGAGAATTAAGAAGTGAACTGCAGAAGAAATGTAAAGTATAACTAAATAAGAAAGCTCTGTTTAAGTTATGCACAATAGTGTGACTTACTACAGTCTACAATTAATAGAACACTGCTACTTAATTCCAGAGCAAAACGGTCACGAGTGAGAAATGAATTGCATTAAATTACATCGTAAGCTCACAGCATTCATTCTATAGTTCCTGTTACACAGGTTTTTAAAAACTGAATCAGCAATTCTTCCACAGAAGTACTGGATAATCACTCAAGATTTCTTTCCTCGAAAAATGTAGTTTCAGTGAGAGAAAGAATGGGGCATTTCAAACAAAGTAAATTGTGCTTTATCAGTACAGGATAAATATATATATACTAAATCATATCTACATATACACACACAGCCAAAAGTACAAGATAGCACTCCAGGGACTTCCAAGTTGAATGAATAAAACTTAGCTTTTATTAGCTCAAAATAAAAATCAACGTTTCAGTCTGTATCACAGACTTTCATCAGGATGAGCTTGCAAATCAAATCCCTAAGAATATATACCCTCAGTATTCCCTTACCTTACCCAGGTTGAGGATAGGAGTGATCCCAGGGGCACCTGACCAGCAGCCTGCTCAGGTCAAATGATTGACACTGATGATGTCATAGACGTGCGCCTCCCGGGGTCGTTCCCATAGCAACCCAGTATAACCAACAAAATAATACATATACATATAACTAAAAACATAGCCTGCATACAGGAATAAAAAATGTTGAAGAAAGACCTATACACCCCATCAGGGGCCATTTAGATACAGAGAAAATCCATAGAGAATACGTTAGAGATAGACAGCAGGCAGAACTAATCGAAAAACGATCAAACTGCAATTAGCCTGTAGCAACCTATTAACAAGATATAAATATACAAACTATACTACCTAAGGAATAGATAATGCATAAAGAAGACATGTAACTTATACTACAAATACAAAAATGCAGGCATGAGCAATCAAACCTGCAGAGATTCCAATCTAACTACAGGGAGCAAAGTACCAACAAACAGCAATTGAAAGCATAATTGTACCAAGAGTAATGTATCACTCCGAGTAATGTATCACTTTTTACATACACACACAATATATATATATATAAATAAATACACAGGGGGTGTGATTACATCTCCTTAATATTAATAGAACACAGTAATAATAGTGATGTATACCAGAAGCTGTAATGTAATCTACCGTAGATCTAAACAGAACACATCAGTACTTTATTATAAATGAAAAAGACAGGACTTCAAGGTCAGACCAGTTACCATTTAGAAAGAAGGTCCTAAAAATAACATGCTTCTACAAAAGCAGACCGATACTGTTACTGCACAAAACATACAATGAAAGTGCACTATATAGTTGTGACTTGCATAGACCACTACTTTTGCTTTGGGTGCCAGGTCTGTCTTTCAATAAAAAGCAGTTTAGGGCTCAAGGATGTAACATGGCACATCTCAATACCACACACATACACAAACATTTACAGTTACCTTTATACAATGGTACACAGATCATAATACTCAGACAGGTGTACACATACAGAAAACTAAAACCCCAGTTACTCTGTTACACAGATAACGATATGTATACAGGCACGCCGTCAAATCAAACTAATGCACACACCTACATTTCCCAGGAATCCATATAAACAGACAGAGTAGCGGCAGCCACTGTACCAATTGCATGCAGAAAACTCATTGGAACTCAGGGCTACTTGAATCCTGTGTTGTGCTTTGTGTATGTAAACTAGAGTATACTGTGTAAACATCAATTGCACAGGATATGTCCAATATAGAATTTAAATGCTAGCAGCAGTACAGCAGGTGTGAACATGGTTTTATCCCATGAGCCTTCTGTGTGCTTGTTTCGAAGACTAGAATCTTTGTACACATAAATATATCCTATGCCATTTAACATGCAACAAATCAAGTGATAGGAACCAAATTTGCATTCAGATCAACCTAACCTGTTTTGGAAGTTTTCTGTGATTCCTGACTATACAGTCCACTTATAATAGTGCTGCTCTCCAATTGATATAATCTGGAATCTTGTTTGTGCAGACACTAATGACATAAAATGGGTCCAAGGTACTTATTACTCTTGAGACTGTGTTACTGCAACACACCACTCCACCCTTATGCATGTACAAGAAATCTCCTAGTGCCAAGCAATGGTCAAAAACAATATTCATACAATGCAAACCAGGATTGTTTCATACCTCAAAGAAATATGTGGTCAATTGCTCTCTTTGGATTCTTTAGATCTCTAAATCACCCCCCGTGGGAACCTACCGTAATCTAATTTCTTTAAAAGTGAGTGAAAGGAACATCCTCCCTTTAATTTGACATTTAATTTTAACTCCAGCAATGTAACGGTTCATGTAATGACATACTAACCTTATTGTACAAGAAGACTCCAAGGATTGCAGTTAACATTCCTAGAACATTGGTACCGGTCACTGGGTTGCGCAACATAAGGAGTGAGACTGTAATGACCATGATTCTCTTGGTGGCATTGGCCACAGAGTAACTAAGTGGACTGATGAGATTCAGGATACTGAAGGCAATAAGGTTTTGGGTAAAGTTACAAGTACCACTGACAATGAGGAGGAACAGTGTCCAGGACCACTGAGAGACGGAGCTCTAGAATAGAAGAGGGAAAAACAAGGTACAGAATGAGGAAACGGTGAAGGCACGCAGACACAAAGCCAAAGCTGAACATACATTTTTGGATTAACAGCAAAAACATATGTGAGAAAGGCTCAACTTGATGGATGCAAGTCTCTTTTCAGCTATGTGACCAGTAATAAATGACAAAGGGTATTATTAGTATAAAATGGGGTTAAACTCCCTGCACTAATGAAAAGTCAAACACCAAATGGCAATCTAAGCACTGAAACCTGCTGTAGTTTGATAGAAAAGTTGAACTTGGCTTTTTTCATGTTGCACATGCACCGCAAATCGCCACACTGTGCAAATCAGCATCTCCTCGTAGAAATGCATTGAATCAATACATCTCCTTGGGTAGCATTCAGTGTATCCACCCAAAAAGCACCTCTAGTGGCCATATGAGTGACTGCCACTAAAGGTGTTACTAGGCAGTAATGTAAACTGCCTTTCCTCTGAAAGGTCATTGTTTACATTAAAAAGCATGCAGAGACAGGATATAGACATTAGCCTTTAGTGGTTATGGTGACTATAGTATCCCTTTAAAGCTGTACAGCTTTGACATATTGTCGTTAGAACACACTGGGGCAGTGACAGGGGAATGCAATACACCATAACCTTTGCAATAAGCATAAGTTGTTACAGTGCTTAGATCAACTTTGTCTGAACAGACATGTCTAAAGTGTCAGCAAGGATCACTGAAGGCTACAAAATAAGCCAACAGCCAAATTATTGAAAGTAGAGCACCCCAACGGACATTTTCTCCATTCTCTTAGCAAGCCCATTCCTGCCTTATTTCATTTTTCTGTGTATAGGATTCCTGTCAAACCAGAATGTGATAATGATTTTTCACCATGAAATAAGCCATTTCTAGGCTCAGTCTACAAAACTTTCTTACCAAGTCACTCTCCACCAAGAAGGATGAAAGATCCAGCAGCACCCATGTCGGGATCATGAAAAAGACTGCATGACAGCCTAGGAGGTTTAGTAATCGCAAGTGGTGTATCCGAGAATCCCGCAATACCTGAACAGTGGAAACAAGAAGCATGCTATAGACTGGAGCACTTAAACAGAATCCACTCTATGTGATGGAACAATTTACAAGTTATTAGCTATCATGCATCGGTGTTGACAACTATAGGTATATTTAACAGCAACCCTTCAAATCAAAACCTTGGAATTCATCTCTGCAATTCAAAACCATATATAATACCAGACAAATAATGACCTAGTAATATTGTAAAAAGAAGAACTTTAGGGTGCTTGCTCATAATGTCAAAATATGGTTTTGCATTCAAAATATTATGCCTTGAGTACTAACTAGGCACATATCACAGTTATTCACAAGTGTGCAGTACTGGGAATTCAAATGGAATATCACATTCCAAAATAATCAAATCAGAAAAATCTACCCAGGTCAGCTGTTTCCAGTTTGGCTACTCTGGGCTATAATTTGCTATTCACTTTGCTTTCCAGACAATTCAAACATTAGTAAATAACACTGTAGAATTAGTTTTTAATTACTCAGTTTAGGTGAAAAATTTAAGATAACTACACAACCTGAAAGCTAACTAAAAGCTTTTATGTGTTGCACTCCCCCACCCCAAAATTATTATTTTTTTAACATAAAAAAATAAAAAAATAAATAAAAAAGAAGGAGGCAGTATTAAGGCAATATGAGTTTAATTTCACAATATTAGATTTGCAGGTTTATGAAAAATGTCTGTCAAACATACGTGCATGATGAGAAGAAAATACCAGAGCACATATGCATTAAATATGGTAGGAAGATACTACCATCAGTTCCTGCAGGCAAACCATGTTTTATACTTAGCTGCACACCTCACCTTGGCAAAGCTTTGATAAAGCTACTCAGGTAAGTGAACACACGCAACCTTCCCTAACACAAAGGGTACAGAGTTTGCTTCTATTATAAGGAAATCCAACATAGGGATCGGGAAATCTATGCTTAATCAGAAACATTTCTGATATAATGGGGATTTTGTACAAAGACCAATTTTGGGAAAGTGTTAAAAAAATAAAAAATGAAGCAATAAGCAAGAACCATCGATTTTAATATACAAACCATGCGTTCAAACGCTCACTACTCTACTACTTTGAGGTAACATTTCTTTTGTTCTAGATTTTTTTTTAAACGCCTAATTTCTATAGGAGCCATCTTTGCAGTTTATTTCTCCAGCATTTATCTGCTTTTTAATTTATTTCTGCATGTATAAAAAAGGTTTACAGATATAAATGTATAAGTTCATGGGTGTCTGAAATTACTGCTCTGAATATATTAATCAGCGTTCCTAAATGCAGATAAATTCCCCATATGGCATGTGACATCATGCTCTAACCTTTTTTGAGAAGATATTCTGTAGAGAGAAGCAGAGTGTAGCAGCTAATGCACTGATGAGCCCCCATACGTCAAAGGAGATCTCAGTAACAGTGGCCAGCAGGACTCCTCCAATAATGGGAATGAGGGATAGGTACACCTGTAGAAAGGAGGGATGATCATAAAAATATACAATAGGCATTATGTCCTAGTTTAAGCCTTTGTCAAATAGGTAAAGAACACATCAAAATAGTGTCTAGATGCTGTGCACTCAAATCATCAAGCCTATTCCCCAGTTTAAAAGGCATATTGGACATTTTCATCCCTTATTCAATCTAATTTCCAGTATTGTAATATAAAGAACCTACAGACACAGATATATACTCACTGTCAATATTTAGACCCCTTCATTATTTTATAATTGACCCCCTGACCCCCTCTCCACACACACCAGCCTACACTCAATATCCCATAAAGACAAAGCAAAAAAACAAACAGATTTTTGCCACCATTACAAATATATTCAAAAGAGAAAAACCTGAAATATCACATTGTCATAAGTATTCATGCTTGTACTTCAGTGCTTGGTTGAAGCACCTGTGGCAGAGAATACAGTCTTAAAGGACCACTATAGTGCCAGGAAAACAAACTAGTTTTCCTGGCACTATAGGGTCTTTAGGTCCCCCCCATGCTTAGGGTCCCACTCTCGCTGGGCTGAAGGGGTTAAACACTTACCTTTCTTCAGTGCCGGGCAAGTTTCCTCTCTCTGCCGACATCAGCCGTGCGCGCAAACAGTCCATTGGAAAGCATTGCTCAATGCTTTCCTATGGACGTCCAGCATCTTCTCACTGATTTTCACAGTGAGAAGCGCCTCTAGCAGCTGTCAGTGAGACAGCCACTAGAGGCTGAATTAACCCTATTGTAAACATAGCAGGTTTTGGTCTGGCTACCCTGCCTTAAAGTCTAAATCAGTGGAGTGTTGCAGTAATAGTTGTCCCAACCCAACACATGATCTCTGGATACCTCCCAAAATGATCATAGAGTGCTTGGTCACCTCTGTTGCTCAGTTTTGCCTAATGACCAGCTCTAGGAAGCATCCAAGCTATTCAAAACTTCTTCCATTTAACATGAATACGAAGGCCACTGTGCTCTTGGGAACCTTTAACAAGGTATGACTTTTCTAGCCTTCCCCATATACAATTGCAAGAAAAAGTATGTGAACCCTTTGGAATGATATGGATTTCTGCACAAATTGGTCATAAAATGTGATCTGATCATCATCTAAGTCACAACAATAGACAATCACAGTCTGCTCAAACTAATAACACACAAAGAATGAAATGTTGCCATGTTTTTATTGAACACACCATGTAAACATTCACAGTGCAGGTGGAAAAAGTATGTGAACCCCTAGACTAATGACATCTCCAAGAGCTAAATGGAGTGAGATGTCAGTCAACTGGAGTCCAATCAATGAGATGAGATTGGAGGTGTTGGTTACAGCTGCCCTATATAAAAAAAACACCAGTTCTGGGTTTGCTTTTCACAAGAAGCATTGCCTGATGTGAATGATGCCTCGCAAAAAAAAGCTCTCAGAAGACCTACGATTAAGAATTGTTCAGCACTGCTGCTACTCTCCCTAGGAGTGGCCATCCTGTAAAGATGACTGCAAGAGCACAGCGTAGACTGCTCAATGAGGTGAAGAAGAATCCTAGAGTGTCAGCTAAAGACTTACAAAAGTCATTGGCAAATGCTAACATCCCTGTTAGCGAATCTACAATACGTAAAACACCAGAATGGATTTCATGGGAGGATACCACAGAGGAAGCCACTGCTGTCCTAACAAAACATTGCTGCACGTTTACAGTTTGTACAAGAGCACCTGGATGTTCCACAGTACTGGCAAAATATTCTGTGGACAGATGAAATCAAAACTGAGTTGTTTGGAAGAAAGACACAACACTATGTGTGGCGAAAAAAAGCACAGCACACCAACATTAAAACCTCATCCCAACTGTGAAGTACGGTGGTGGGGGCATCATGGTTTGGGGCTGCTTTGCTGCGTCAGGGCCTAGACAGATTGCTATCATCGAAGGAAAAATGAATTCCCAAGTTTATCAAGACATTTTGCAGGAGAACTTAAGGCCATCTGTCTACCAGCTGAAGCTCAACAGAAGATGGGTGTTGCAACAGGACAATGACCCAAAGCATAGAAGTAAATCAACAGAATGGCTTAGGACCACTATAGTGCCAGGAAAACATACTGCGTTTCCTGGCACTATAGTGCCCTGAGGGTGCCCCCACCCTCAGGGACCCCCTCCCGCCCGGCTCTGGAAGGGGAAGGGTAAAACTTACCTTTTTCCAGCGCTGGGAGAGCTCTCCCTCTCCTCTCCGCCTCTTCATGGGCACGCAGTGCTGTCACTGTGAAATCACAGTGTGAAGCACGCAAGCGCTTCTAGTGGCTGTCAATGAGACAGCCACTAGAGGATTAGGGGAAGGCTTAACCCATTCATAATTATAGCAGTTTCTCTGAAACTGCTATAATTATGAAAAAATGGGTTAACCCTAGAAGGACCTGGCACCCAGACCACTTCATTAAGCTGAAGTGGTCTGGGTGCCTAGAGTGGTCCTTTAAACAGAAGAAAATACGCCTTCTGAAGTGGCCTAGTCAGAGTCCTGACCTCAACCCAATTGAGATGCTGTGGCATGACCTCAAGAAAGCGATTTACACCAGACATCCCAAGAATATTGCTGAACTGAAACAGTTCTGTAAAGAGGAATGGTCAAGAATTACTCCTGACCGTTGTGCACGACTGATCTGCAACTACAGGAAATGTTTGGTTGAAGTTATTGCTGCCAAAGGAGGTTCAATCAGTTATTAAATCCAAGGGTTCACATACTTTTTCCACTTGCACTGTGAATGTTAACATGGTGTGTGCAATAAAAACATGGCAACATTTAATTCTTTGTGTGTTATTAGTTTAAGCAAACTGTGATGGTCTATTGTTGTGACTTAGATGATGATCAGATCACAGTTTATGACCAATTTGTGCAGAAATCCATATCATTCCAAAGGGTTCACATACTTTTTTTTGCAACTGGATGTACCCCAACACAATCCTGTTCTGAGCCCTGTAGACAGTTAATTTGACCTCATTGCTTGGTTTTTGCTCTGATATGCATTAAAATCTGTGAGACATTATATACACAGGTGTGTGACTTTCAAAATCATGTCCAACTAAGTGAATTTGTCACAGGTGGACTCCAGTCTAAGTGAAGATATATCTAAAAGATGAACACGACAGAAATGGGATACATCTGAGCTTAAAATACCACTATAGGCACCCAGACCACTTCAGCTTAATGAAGTGGTCTCTGTGCCAGGTCCATCTAGGTTTACCCCTTTTTGCTGTAAACATAGCAGTTTCAGAGAAACTATGTTTACTTATGGGTTAATCCAGCCTCTAGTGGCTGTCTCATTGACAGCTGCTAGAGGCACTTCCGCGCTTCTCACTGTGATTTTCACAGTGAGAAGACACCGGCGTCCATAGGAAAGCAGAGACTGGCTGAATGCTCGCACGGCTCTTGCTCTCAGCCGGTGACGTCAGAAGAGGGAGGAGAGTCCCAGCGCAGAGGGAGCCCGGCGCTGGAGAAAAGGTAAGGGATTAACCCCTTCCTCTCCCCTTCAGCGCCACGGGAGTGGGACCCTGAGGGTGGGGGCACCCTCAGGGCACTATAGTGTCAGTTAAACGATTGTTTTCCTGGCACTATAGTGGTCCTTTGATTTCAATTGTCCTAACAAACAGTATTAATACTTATGTCAATGCAATATGTCAGATGATTTTTTATTGTACTAATTAAGAAATTTGCAGAGTTTTTAAAATTCTGTTTTTTTGTTATCATTATGCGGTATAGAGAGCAGCTAAACAAAAAATAAACAACTGTAGCATAAAGCTGCAACATAAAGAACATGTGAAAATTTTTTTTAAGAGATCTAGTTACTTTCTGAATGCTATATATAAAGTAATAAACATGTACATTGGTCTCCCCAGGTTTCTTCTTACCTTGGTGGTCTGTTTCTCTTTCATTATTATTCGTGACAGCAGCACCACCCATATTGGCATTGTAGCCTTAACTGGAATGTAAAAACATAAGTGCGTCACAAAGTATACACAAGAAGCCCAAATCACAAACCCAACCCATTCAGCTCAGTGCTACTGTGAAACAGTCATTAGCACTTTCCCCTCAATTCCCAATGATTACTTTACCCATAGAAAAAAACACCTTTATTTGAAATCAGACTTAAACTTTAGGAAACTGTCTTCTTATTCTAAACAAAGAGCAAAAAATATTAAATAAATAAAAAAATACCGCTTTACTGATTCACCTGCTCAAAATCAGCAGAGTGTATAAGCATATCAATTAAGGTGTGCATATAAAATAGAAAGAGTAAGAATGATTGGTCTTACAGGAATATTAACTACTATTAAGTAGCAATGAGAAAGAATTTTGAACCCACAAGGATCAACCGGTTGAATGATATTTAAAAAAAAAAAAAAAAAAAAGTGTCTGAGCTCTTGAGTAGGTTTTGTAGCAAAATAAAACTAATATAATAGGAACACTTTTCTACACATGAAATGGTTTTGTTTTTACCCCAGCAAGTAACTTATGTCAAGCATGCAAATTGTGTTGGATGATTGACAAGTTACTTGCTGGTGTAAAAAGTTGTGCAAATTAGTTAATTAAGTTTGTTAACATAATTAACTAAGAAGTTGGACATTTGTGCCAGTTGTGGTAGAGCTGAACATATGCCAAGCAAACATCAGACACATGATCATCGGACAAACTTTCCTTTAAATGTTAATCTCTAGAATGTAAATGAATTTCAGCAGAGGGCTCAACACCCTGTTCCTGTGTGTTCAATTCATCTTGTTGCAAATACCTGCCTGTTAGTCCACCAGTACAACACTGTGGAATTTGTTGGTGCTTTATAAAAAAAAAAAATAATAATAATCAACCTTTGAGTCCTCTTAAAAACTCATCCTATAAACCTCTGTCAATGACCATTTGTTTATCGTGTATGACCATCACTAGCCCAAAGTCAAACGTATAAAAAAAAAAAAAAAAATGAGTTAACTCTTCTTAAGCAAGACCAATCAACTGTGCATAACAGGGTTAATTGTTCCCATGCTAACACAAAATAACATTGGAATTCCAATGAATGCCTTACTCTTCACAAAACAACACTTTTAAAAAAGCTCACAAAAAAAGACCAATTTAGAACTGCCAGTAATGGACACTCTTCTGCTTATTTAGCCTTTTTGAATGGGAAGCAAGATTATGTCCAGTGGCTACAGAACCATATCAATGCAAAACCACAAGGCCCCAGGCCATGAGTTCCAAGACTTTAACCATTCAACTATATGACACGGTGTCAAACCTTTCTCCAAACCAAAAATGTGATCAGATCATAGATTTTAAACTGGGTTTCCTTTCACTCTATGCAGGTATCCTTAGCATTTAACCACATCAATTGAAACTCAGACATGCTGATTACAGAAGAGATGATTTCAATTTTTTATCTGAAAATGCAAAACATTCTATATTCTTTTCCCAGCCTCAAACATGATTATTTAAATCTACTATGCCATTTGTTCTTCTAATCTAATGCAAGCCCTCATAGATCATATACCATGCCGGTAGCCCCCCCACCCCAGGTAACCCATGTAGCCCCCACTCGGTATCCCATATTATCCCATGCCAGCAGCCCACCCCCAGGTATCCCATATTTTGCAGCGGCTCCTCCCTCCCCAGGTATCCCCTCCCATCCAGCAGCCTCCTCTCAGGTATACCATATTATCCATGCCAGCAGCCCCTCCCTCTCCCCAGGTATACCATATTATCCCATGCCAGCAGCCCCTCCCTCCCCCCAGGTATACCATATTATCCCATGCCAGCAGCCCCCTCCCCTCTACCCCAGGTATCCCATATTATCCCATGCCAGCAGCCCCTCCCTCTACCCCCAGGTATATTATCCCATGCCAGCAGCCCCCTCCCCTCACCCCCAGGTATACCATATATATCCCAGCACCAGCAGCCCCCTCCCCTCTACCCCAGGTATACCATCCAGGTATACCATATTATCCCATGCCAGCAGCCCCCTCCCCTCTCCCCCCAGGTATACCATATTATCCCATGCCAGCAGCCCACCCCCCCGGTGCAGTTTCCGCTATACCCACCGGTATGTGCGTAGGACACGGGCACTTTCCAGATGCTGAAATGCGCAGACACGGAGGCGAAGTACTTGCCGAAGGCCAGCGGGATGATGTACCAGCGGTAATACCTGGCCGGCAGCTGTGTGTGCGGGACCCCCCAGGCCCGGAGCAGCGGGGGCAGGAAGCAGCAGATGGCCAGGATGTGGAAGAGGGACACGGTGACCGGGTAAGGGAAGCTGTTCAGGATGATTTTATTCACCACGTTCCCCCCGGAGCTCACAGAATACCACAGCATGCACAGCATGGCCACCCGGGCCCCCTCCCTGACACCGACAGCAGGGACTGCCCCCCGCCCCCAGCAACCGTCACCGCCGCCATGTCCCCCGTCTCTCCTGCTCCCACAGGGGGAAGCCGCTCTCCGCTCCGGGATACACACAACAGAGACGTGGAAGTGGGGACGTCAAGAGAATGGGAGGGGGATAGAGCATTTTCACAATCACGTAACTTCCGCTGGAATGACTCCATTAGCTGGAACGTCACTTCCGCTTAGCTTCAGTGCTGCATTTTACAACTGTGCAAAGCGTCTGTGGATGGACCCATTGATAGAATAGGCAGGGAAGACTTTTTACACAGCTTGTACTTGTTATATGTAAAGTGTATCTGGCATGGCTAAAAGTAGATTAATATCCATCTGTGTTAACTTTTTATTTTTGTGGTTTTGTTTTTTTGCACTTTATCCACTTTGATTCGCAGTGCTGTAGTGTCCCTTTTAGAATAAGCAAAAATAGGGATTTTGCAGATTAGAAATAAATTATACAAATTAAAATATTTAGAATATGGTATTAGGGTATTATAGTGCTCGCTGCACATCAAGGGTTAAAAACCTTTAAAGGGAAACTATAGTGCCAGGAAAACAAAGTTGTGTTCCTGGCATTATTTCTCCCTGTAGTGCTCTTCCTGCCTTCTGTCACTTACCTGAATTCAGCAAAGATGTCCCTTGGTACTGGTTCAGGCTCTGTCTCCACTCCTCCTCCCCCGACATTGGCTGAAGTCGGGGGCCTAATACACATGCACCGCAATCGCATTATGACAACTTCGTAGGAAAACATTGAATCAATGCTTTGTTATGGGATTTTAGCTGACGCTGGATGTCCTCATGCATAGCAATCAATAGTCGCCTAGCGACCTGGAAGCGTCTTTTGTGGGTTTAGTGAATTTTTAAATTTACACTTAAACTATAGGAAACTGGCTTCTTATCCTATACAAGAAGCAAAAAAATAAAAAATAATAAAAAAAATACTGCTGTCTGAAAAACAATAACTGCAAAAAATACCATTGCAAGGTTAAACTGACAGGACCACTGTCAGTTTAACCCTGACATTGTGCCTATAGTTTCCCTTTAATTTGTATTAATTTTTTTTGTATATAGTAGTATATATACTGATTAAAGAGCTTAAAGGGACACCATAGTCACTAAAACAACTTTAGCTTAATAAAGCAGTTTAGGTGTTTATTTTTTTAAACTATATTTTAATTTTGACTTGACAGTTTTGGAGGTTAGACAGTTTTACCAGATTGAAGTTCAGCCTCTCTCCGGCCTGAAGCTCCAGTACGTAGCCCCTGCTTCCAGTAAACTTTCCCTAGAGTATTGTACAATTTCCTCTTCTTTGCCTGGCTTTCTCCTCATGAACTGCCATAATTTTCATTTCTGCTGGATGCTGGCTTCTGGATTTAGCAGAGCACTCTAAGTGTACATAAAGCATCCCACTGGGCTTAAGTCTATCTACCAGTAACGGCAGTCCCTTCAGGAGGGAGCCTTCCTGGTCACGTGTAAGATGTAGGATGTGATTAGCTGAGTCTCTTACCCATAGGCGTACGAACGGGGTGTGCCTGGGCATGCCTATGGATTGAGTCCTGCAGGAACAGAGATCTAGACAGCAGCTCTGCCATGTTCCTCTCGCGAGATCTGAGCGTTGCTGCGGCAACGCTCAGATCACGCCAGAGTTTACTCTTCACTGGACCACCAGGGATGGCACATGGCAGCAAGGATTCCCACTACCTACATAAGGTAAGAAGGGAGGGGGGATATTTACTAATCTGCCCCCACCTCCACAATCCCTCCAAACATACAGCACACACACACATACAGCACCCACACACACACAGCACCCTCACACACACAGCACCCTCACAAACACACACAGCACCTTTACAAACACACAACACCCTCACACACAGCACACTAACAGCACCCTCACAAATACACGACACACACACACACATCACACAAACAGTACCTTCACACAGCACACTAACAAACACACACACACAAACACCCTCACCCACATAGCACACTACCAGCACCCTTACACACACAGCAGTGTATGTGTGTGTGTATATATATGTGTGTATACACATGCGGCGTGTGTTTGTGCTTTAGGGTGCACACCCTAATGCAATAGGCGGCGCACGCCTATGCTCTTACCCTCTAAGTTTTGCAGTTTCACACTAGCTATATAATTCAAAGGAAACCCACAACTTTTATTCTCTGCAATTTTAAAGATCTTCAGGAAAAACAATCTGCTTACCCCTTTCACTAAACTATAATAACAGATACTACTGCTTCACTTAAAGAGTCCATCGATTGCCCTAAATCTTACGAAATTCTACCGGAATGCTGGAGCAGCATTACAGCAGTTTCCAGAACTTTAAAGATAAGCTCCAGAACTTAAAGGAAGTTGTAGACAAGGGAATGAGAAGTTTAATAATTATTAATAGACTAATTATTATTTTGTCACAGAAGCAGCAGTTGCCTATGCAAAATCAATTGCCATATCAGTGGCTGTCTGAAGAGCCTCTGGCTTCATTCCTGGTGAGTAGATGCCTCATCAAATAATTATTTTGGTTCTATTCCATTTTAAGGCAATCTTTTGTTTGAGAAATATTTTGATGATACCATCAAAAAGCCTATAAAGGCGGAAAAGGTCTTCTTTCTCAAGATAGAAGGGGAAGAATATCGGTGGTCTAATGCCTGTAAGAAGCCCATGGTATGAGAGGAATTGACCAACTGTAGGAAACATCTAGTGTTATGCCCAACTTTGCGCTCTGATACAACCCTGCTTGCTCTGTTGACACAAATTGCAGTAAAAGAGGATTCATTCATTTAGCCAGAAGCTTTGTGTCCACTGTAAGCAGGGATATAGAATGAAAATTGTCTCACGTGGGTGGTTTCCCGGTTTCGAGAATGTAATGAATGATATTTGCTTCCAACATCTCCTTGGGTATGAAACCAAAGTCTTCTATTTGGTTAAATAATTTGGCCAGATTGGGAGTCAAAAGGTTTGCAAACTTATGACATAATAGGGTTGGACTGAGAGCCTTTGGGGTCCCTTGTCATGTTATGGTGTTTTTGAAAAAATCCCTAGACACCAAAATATTTAATCTCCTTTCTTTAATAATTGCTTGAATAAACAACCCACAGACATTGTCCATTCTCACCAACTTCATGTCAGGCATTCATTTGTAGCTAGTTACAGGAATGAAGAGATGAGGTAGAACTACTGAGTGTGCACAGGCAGCACATGGTGGAGAAATGATGGCTGGAGAAGTAGGGGAAGATTTGGCAAGGACAAAGAAAAAAGTAAACAGACACGGTGGATGTTGGAAGTAAGGATAATAAATGGATTTTATAGGACTTTTAAAATAATAAGTAGAAGGCTAGTGAGTAACTAAGATGAAGTGAGTGGTGTTGGAATGAAAGAGAGGAAAAAGAGAATGCAGAAATGCTAGAAAATGAAGTATTAGATTAAGTAAGATGAATAAGCAGAAGATATAGTGCAAAAGAAAGGAGTACTGAAAGTGGAGAATCCTGCAGTGGAGTTGAACAGGCATATAGTAAGACATATGCCACATACTCTTATGTGGCAGCACATTAATATCTAAGTTATTTGTTGTTTAACATACTCACAATGCTATAATTGCATTCTCCCTATACATTGTGTCTCCAGGATCCTTCTAACATGAGATGGTGATACTAGTCAATAGTTTGTTCAGTCAGACCTGCGAAAGGTGAATTATCAAGTGATACCTTACACCCAGCATTGAAGTTGAAGGGCAGTGCTAGATACAGATAAATTCCCAAGATACTTGGGGATGGGGGTTAGAAAATTAGTTTTTCTTCCATGTGTACCAGTAAATTTAGAAATACAGGTATAAACCTTTAATGGGTTTCAACAGAAAGAGCTTAAAACAGAAAGATTACTTGAAAATACCTGTATAGGTTTTGCAAGTTAATGGCAAAATATAGCCAGGAAACAGCCTAATGTGTTCCAAATGTAAGCTCTTAATTAAAGGTAGCAGTAATTCATACTTAAAGGGACAATCTAAGCACCACGCAGGGCGATGGCTGATGACATCACCGCCCTGTGCAGAGAGTGAAGCAGGAGCCCAATGGTTGGATTCTACCGCTGTCTGACTTAAAGTGTATAAATATGGCAGAGAGATCTAGATTTTCTGAGATCTAGATTTTCATATACTTTAATTTAAAAAAAAAAAAATGACATGCTGCACATGCAATTTGGTGACAGTTGTCCTTTAAGGTCAGATGACAGCAATAATATTCAGTGTTAACCAACAAATTGCCAGTAGCCAACCTCACAGTGCCATTTTTCATAATAACAGAAAGGTAACATCCTTCCAACAATAAGTAAGACAGCAACAGAAAAGAAGAATTGAAAAGAAGAGTTTTGCCACCGCAGTGGAAGCTGTTAGTGGTGTACCCCAAGTTTGATTATCGTCCCTGAAACGCTTCCCATTGAAGTCATGTTTTCTTGAAGGAGAAAAGAGTATTTCTAACAAGAGCTGTAAGCTTATCCATTAGTAAGATGTATTTTATTACAAATAACACTATCTCCAAATCCAGGGGTTTAATTCCAATTGTCCTCAAAAGACCAATTATGATCCCGTATGCCCTCCCAGAATTTGACCACTTTTGGCAGGCTGCAGTTTTTTTATTAGAGTTACTTTATATCAGGAGTAAGTTATTTAATGAAACACTCCTAACACCTAAAGCACTTTAGCTTGTTGAATTGTGCGTTCTGTTGAATATTTGTGTAGAGTGTGTCCTTTTTTCATTTGACAAAAAGTGCAATTTTAATAGAAATTGACACTCTTCTAAACTGTTTAATCCCCCAGCTGTCAATACTTCCTGATTTGTTCATCTCAGTAGCTAAACTCTAGAGGCAGCAGCTGCCCAGAGCACTTACTTCTCATTGA